GTTTAACGTTGAATATTATTTATGACTCTAGTTTATATAACCTTCTCATCTAATATACTAATAAAGTTGAATCGAATTGGAGAATAGAAACTAAAGATAAGCTTATTCTAAACATGATAACAACATAATCTTACGCTGTTAGGTTTATCTTCAGGCTTTGGCGGAGGGTACTCTTTGAGACAGCTAAGAATCACTTGTTGCTTTTTCTCCTACCAAAATAAACATAAGAAAGAAAATTATGTAAATAACTTATAAGTTGAATTCAGATGAATATTCGCACAGTTGAAATTATTTTGTAAGCAATAATCATCAGAATCCATGGAAACCATTCTAATAGTATAATTAGAATTTGTGATAACCACAGAAAACAGCGCACTATATATATTGTAAGGCAGTACTTTGCATTTGTTGTATGTGGTTTGTATTATGTCATAGATAATTTAAGATTAACAGATACACTTTGTTATTTATGTATTTTACAGCATGATCCGAAATACTCTTCTGGAAATTTTTGAGTACTCATTTAGTTTGTTAAGACCATTTTCTTAACACCAGTCTGGTCGATTTAACAAGTAAAAACATAAATGTTACTCACCCTGTCTTCACCAGTTGGTTCTAACTGTGGGCATTCTCCCCAGTTGATATGCTTGAAGTAAATAAAAATAAAAACATTTTAAACAGAATTAAAAAAGATTAAACACAATAAATACTTTGATTTTTGAACTAGGAAAGTACAAGTAATGACCACCATAGTCTGCGCATGTGTACACCGGTTTCAAGAACATCCTCAATTAAAGACTAAACAAATTCAAAGTTTTTTTTGTTACCGAGACAACATTACCTAATTTAACTCGTGCATATTTTGTTTTAGAAAAACAAAGTAAAAAATATGAAATAAAAAAAAATTAATCAAAGTACTCATTTTTCCCTACAACTGAGGTAAGTCTGCAGGCTTCCGACACTAAAAGTTGGGCCTCGATACCAGTAATGGGCAGAGCATAAACAGTTTGTTGTTGTGTAGCTTTGTGCCTAACGGCAACCAATCAACCTATAACATGAATAAATTTGAATGCAAATACAGGTATATTTTAAAGAATGTAAAAACCCTTCTATATATATATTTGTCTGTCTACTGATTTAAAAAATATATATATTTGATATGTAACGTTTCTAATGTATTTGGTTAAACAAAAATCCGGCCTATATTATATTTTAACGTAATGTCCCAAAATCGTTATAAAGCGCTATCGAATAGCGTGTCTCGATTCATTATGTGTTAAACACACCCAATCCATATCTAACGCAGTTCTAACTTGGGTTTCACGACTTTATGTTTGCGGGTCGCGGGTTCGAATCCCCGTCCCACCAAACATGCTCGACCTTTCAGCCGTGGGGGCGTTATAATGTGACGGTCAATCCCACTATTCGTTGGTAAAAGAGTAGCCCCAAGAGTTGGCGGTGAGTAGCGCAGATATCACTCGTGTAGCTTTGCGCGAAATTCAAAACAAATCAAACCAATCTTTACCAATAGTTCTCTGGATCTCTAAACCGAACAGAAAATTAGAAACTCTGACTACAGCGCACATAAAAACGTATACTGCCAACAGTAATTTGTTTGACAACATTGGCCATCAGTGTTTTAATTTTGATAAAGGCCCGAGACTAAAGGTCTGAGATAAAGTCCTGAGACTAAAGGTCTGAGATAAAGGCCCGAGACTAAAGGCCTGAGACTAAAGGTCTGAGACGAAAGGCCCGAGACTAACGGCCTGAGACGAAAGCTCTGAGACTAAAGGCCTGATACTAAAGGTCTGAGATAAAGGCCTGAGACTAAAGGTCTGAGATAAAGGCCTGAGATAAAGACATGAGACTAAAGGTCTGAGATAAAGGCCCGATACTAAAGGTCTGAGATAAAGGCCCG